GCTTTCTTATTCTCAACATTTAATTTAAACATTCCATCACAGGCATACCCTTTCCCCACAAATATGCCTTTTTTAGTGATTACATATTGGTCAGATTCAATAGCCTGTTTTTTTTTTTGGTGTAAAATTGTGATCAGGGCGAAATCCCGATAGAAATAAAATGAGTGTATTGGGCAAATCCGAATGGCTTGAAGGTACAAGACTGAGCAGAAAAAATTAGATGGAATGAATTTTTTTTTTTTTTTTTATTTATTTTATTTATTTTTAATAATAAAAAATTGAGGTTCAAGGAAAAGTTGGGCTGTGGAAAGAAGAAAAAGAAAAATTAGCACCCACGTGAGTTCCATCCAATTTTTTATATATATAAGATAAAAAAAAAGGTTTGGACGGTGGAAAAATATTTTAAAATAGAAAAAATTATATAATATAGGTATCTCTTTGAAACTATATGCTGGTGTGGATCAAAAAAGTGGGCCAAATTACCAATACCGCCACTAATAGAAAAGTAATATGAGAGGTGTGCAAATCAGGTGGTGGGGCGGTGTCTTTTCAAAAGATAGAGTAAAATAAAGATATAAAAAAAAAAGAAAGTAGAGTAGGGAACAGGAGTGTAATGAAAAAGAAAAAGTATAAGGGGATAAGTATTTTATTGGAGAGGGGAAGGAATTAAAAAAGTAAAAGAAATAGATAAAAGAAAATCACGTGGGTGTGTGGGGGAGTGTTGGGTCAGCGTGTGTATGGCAGAGAAGACAAACCCACGTGACTGACATTCGGACAGTTCGATATATTAATAACCGCTAGCGACTTGCAACTATGCTTTAGGGTTGCAAGGACCTCATCATCAAGACCAGGGCAGCCCATGAGAGACGGGAGAGACGGCGCCGGAGCTCCAGTAGGCGGCGTCGGAGGACTCAGTAGCGGAGACAGCGCCGGAGATGTCGGCTTGAGAACAGAGGAGCTAGTTAGGAGCCTCAGAATTCTGTCCAGCATCACCGCCGCATCTGGGTTCTTCGTCGGCAGCTGAGCCGCCACCTCCGACGGCGACACATAGGCACCTGGACCAGCCTTACCCATGATCTCCAAAAGGTCAAGCTCAATGGCCGATTTCAACACCATGGGAAGAACAGACGCGCTCGCTAAAGACTGAGTTAACCCGGGTGAGGACTTAGGAGATGAGGTCGGTGGCTTCACGGACGGTGTCGGAGCCACCGAAGGAGTCGCGGTGGCCTTCGGCGGCGACGCCATCGGAGATTTCGTCGGTGAAGCTGCCGGAGCCTGAGCGATGGCAGATCCAGCCACCAAAGCGAACATCAAAAACACCACTACGCTCGGGTAAGCCATTGGAGTTGATTTTCTCTCTCTAGAAACACTACAAAAAACAGGGAGTTTTAGAGAGAGAAAGCTAGAGTATAGAGAGAGAGAGAATTAGAAAATTTGGGTTTGTCCGGCGGACGGCCAAGGCGAGGCTGTCGCCCGCCGGTGAAGCGGAATCACTAAGTTCTTAACCTCGCTCTGATACCATGTAAAAATTTATGTATTATTGATTGATATTGATATCTTATATTACAAATCAGAGTGGCTCATTATATAGGAGAGGGTTTGGGTAGTAGGTGAGGAGTAGGTGAGGGTAAATTGGTGGTAGGTGTAGTAGGTGTGGTAGTAGGTGGTGGTAGGTGTAGGTAAATTCTAACACCTTATAATTAGCTCCACTGTGCCATCACTTACAATTAGGCTTCCCTCATAAATTTGAATTTAAATATGAGTAACCGTTAAAGCCACATCACCTTGCATCTCTTTGTTGATCCACTGCTACTCAGATCTCGTAATAACCAATACTAATTGCCACGTGTACGATCAGGATCAAAGACTTGAATAGCCTTCATGTATTACCCTTATTCTGCAACGCGTCGAATTATAATTGGTTTGTACAAAATATGTAGCCAACATTACCCCCCGCACTAATATTCCCAATATTTGGTGATATTAGTGGATCAAGGCCTTTTATCCATGTCTTAGAACGTGCATGGGCTTTGTATTCTTTCAGGAATGCAACCGTCATTCATCATTTACATTAAACTCTCTTTCAATCTTTTGAACACTCCCACCACCTTAGTATTCGAACAGACTGATACATTTTATGGCCAAATCAATTTTCTTCTCTATTGATCGAGCACACGAAGAGTCATCTAATGATGTTGTTCCTCCTCGAAAGAATCTCCATGCATTAATTAGCCACCTTTACCCACCTTTCTATATTCAAGTCATGGAAGCCTTTGCAAATTATCAACCCTTGGACTACGAACACATTGCCCTTAATCCTTTGATTTAGAAAGTTACAAATATGGACATAGGAAGATCTCCTTCTGATTCACCCTTGGACTACGAACAAACTGCCCTCAATCCTTTGATTCAGAAAGTTCAAAAAATGGACATTGGAAGTTCTTCTTCTGAGCCACAATCCTCTGCGTGGGACGAAGTCGTGGCTTCTTCTTCTTCCGGGGCTTCTAGTTGGGAAAGCTGGTCAACCTCTGAAACATGTGAACTAAGGGAGCGAATTAACCATCATTTTGTTGAGTTCACTGATCCCTTAGAGTTTTCTTTTTATGCGCGAAGCTCGGTGGTCTACCCTTACGTGTCCATCGATCGTCGATGTAGTTTGGAGGACAATCTACTTGTAGCATGGTACACATCATTCATGTCTACAAAGGTAGTACGAGCTGTCCCTCGCCCAGAAGAGGCACAGGGGTATAACCCATCATTCTTAGCCAAGAAGGTGAAGCTTTGCTCTTTCGACTGGCTCGATTATATTAATGCCTTTGTTCCTTCTACCCCTGCTCCTTCTCCCGAAGTGGAAGCTTCCATATCTCTTCCTCCGCCAAATCCTTGCTGGACAGAGAGACTAAGGCTTGCCCTCTCTGCGGATAAGGTGTTTCCTCCTTATACACCTCCACCTTCCCCAACTCCAGATGAGCGGAAGCAAGCCCAGCTTCTGCTTGCAGCCTTCTCTCACTTGGCCTTCAATGTTCTTGAGGATGATGTTCCTCTAAAGAACCTTCGATAGGGTTGTGATATTCTGACTCGGGATCACATCCTCAACCCCATTGCCCAAGCAGAGCTTCACATGTTTTTGGACCAACTCCCATTGCTTCTTCACTGGCATCGGGTTTCCGTGGCCACCACTCAATCTTTGGATCAACTCTCATTCCTTCGAGTTCATGCCCAGTACGAAGCAGAGAACCTCATTGAAGAGTTCGATAACTTTAAGAATAAAGACTCTGCGTACTGGGATGACTTGGATATGAATGAGTTGGAACAAGGATTGAGAGAAACAGCATTCGAAATAAAGGCTGAAGAGCTCTTTTATGAAGTGAGAGCACATCAACTTCAGTAGCCACATCTAGAAGAAATAGAAGATAAAATAAAGAAAGAACATAAATTTATTAATCATAGTTGGACAAAATTTCATGATCTTGTTATTTATTCTATCCCTTACTTTTACGAACTTGAATTTGTACCCAAAGAGGGCCATTCAATGTAATCGCTTTTACTTTAATACAACTAAGGTTTTCTCTTTGTTTGGCATTGTTTGATCTTGTCCCCATTTATTTTTAAAAGCAAATGTAGGGCTTCGAACTGAACAACCTTATCCTTCGAATCTGGATTCAATCGTTCTAAATGAAATACTAAAAACAACCAACACGAACCTCTCCAATTTATGGAATAAAGTTGACATTTTTTGTTGATTTTCATTTAGAATCAGTGTTTCGAATTTGACAATCTTATCCTTCGAATTCAGATTCAATCATTTTAAACGAAACACTAAAAAACCATGAACTTTTCCAATTTATGGAATAAAGTTGACATTTTTTGTTGATTTTCATTTAGAATTAGTGTTTCGAATTTAACAATCTTACCCCTTAACTAACATATGGTCATGGTTAGTATGATCAATCAGTCTTAAATTGACCATTTTTGCTTCGAACAACAGTTCATGCTGTTTTAGTTCAAAAGACAATCTCTTTCTATATATATACAAACCAACTATTGGTTTTGATGTTTCGAACGCCAATTCCCATCCTTAAGGGGTCTCAAGTTTTACTTCGAAGGACATTACTTTCACTAAGAAACCTAAAACAGGTCTTTAATCCCTCTTAAGTAAACAAATACTTGAGTATTCTTACATCTTTAAGTATGGAATGTGCTTCGAAGCCGGCTTCTCCGTTTCGAAGCCGTTTGTTGTTTGACTTTTGGCGCCAAAATCTGGTTTCGAAGCTAAATATTTTACATCGAAGCTGGCCTCAACATCTGGGATGTGTTTTTCCTCCCAAAAGTATCAATAGTGAAGGAGACTCTTCGTATCTGTACTTTTAGTACTTAACAAATCACGCTATACATTTTCCAGACACAAAGGTTTTTAAACCCTTTTATTTCGTGCTTTGAAATCACTCGCCCGTTTAACACACAAACCCTTTATCTCTACCGACTCTCTACTCCCCTTTCCAACTTCATCCTCTAAGAAAGCTTTCAATCAATGGCTTCTTCTTCATTGAAAGTACCAATTGTAGAGCACGCGAGCCCGTCTGTAACCCTGAAAAGGATCATTGAGGCAGAATGTGAAAAGTACAAGGCCGGTGAGAAAAGCGCCATTGATGGACGCATCATCATCCCTCGACGTCATGAGCAACAGGACTATGTGCTTGGGCCCATCTTCAAGGAGATTCTTACTGAGCTTCCATCGTTATATCCACGTTTAGAAGACCACTGTCTCCTTTACGAAGGTGGTCTTGACTAGGGAACCTGGAGGATGAACCGTCCCCATCGATGCTGGCTCACGGTGAGACCGGAATGGCAAGAATGGTATGATCGGGTTATCCCTGCTAGGACTTTGGACCTTCAAGAGCTCTGCCTTCTCGATGCCCTTCGACTATCCAGGTTTACCATCTCAGAGGACCCTTTCCTAATTCCTGCCACTCTTTGCTTCTGGAATTCTGCTTTTAATTTTTTCCAATTCAAATGTGGGATGATGGTCCCTACTGTTCTTGATATTTGCCATCTGTTAGGATTGTCTCCCATTGGTACCCCAATTGGACCAGATTATCCTGACTTATCAGTTCCCTTTTCCTTCACCTCCCTTAACTCATCCTACAGTGACTTTGTCAAGGCTGAGAATAGAAGGGAGGGCCCTATAACTGAAAGGGAATTTTTTTTTCTTTCATACTATATTGGTTTTGCAAATTCATTTTTTGCACTTCTTCTCAAAGAATCATGCCTGAATTTGCCCTTTTTGCCAAAGCCCTTGTCCTACAGAAAAAGGTGGCCTTAGCCCCATATGTTCTAGGTCATGTATATAGAGCTTGTTCTCTTTTCTGTGAGAAACCCTTAGATGCCAATCAAGGAGGTCCATTTTGGATACTTCAGCTTTGGCTTTTTGCTTATTTTGTTGAGCTACAGTCTAAGTGCCTTAAATTTTTTGAGCCAAACCCTTGTACTCATGGCATGAGACTAGCCAATGCTTCACTTTATCTTTCCACCTTTGCTTTTTACTTCTCTTTCTTCCACCAACTTCTAGCTTCTCTTCCTTCTTACAACTTTCGTCCCTTTGAACCCATTACTATTGGCCCATCTTGGTTGAAGAATTTCCTAAGTGATAGGTTCTGTCTTCACCTGCTCACAAAGATATATGGGCTTCTATTTTGATCCCTAAAGAATTATTCATTAGGACCATGAACCCCAGAGCCTACAAATGCATTGCTGAGCCCTATTGTCATGCTCAATTTGCTAGACAGTTTGGCTTCTCATAAGGGGTCCCAATACCTCTCTGTAGTAACACCAATCTAAGTCTTACCAGCAGGGATTTGAAAGTTCGAAGGTCCAGACTAGAAGAGGCAACTTCTAAGTTTATACAGGACTTGATCGATTTTGAATATATCTCTTTCCTCCCTCAAGGTAACCTGTTGAAGAGGTACCAAAACTGGTGGGTGACCAATATGGAAGTATACTTGGCTATCTCTCCTCAAGACCTACTAATGGTATTAGATGTGCCCAAGCCCAAAGGAGCTGGAGTTGTTACTTCTTCCACTGTTCTTACCACTTCAGTTCCTGTGCCTGCCACCACACAGTTTGCTCCTGCTGCCTCAACTCCTCCTAGAGTTACTCAAGCTGCCTCAAAGAAAGGTATATACCCTTGTTTCTTCTCCTTTTGACTTTTCTATAATGCTTTTAGCCTTATCTTTAATTCTTCTTTTGTGAAGGTGGTGCGGGTACCTCACAGGGAGGTTCTCTTCAGAAAACCCAAGCTCTAAATCTTCTCAAAAGCAAACAGCAACAAAAGAAAAGGAGAC